TGCTGAACCTCACCAGCCCTTGGGCAATATGCAGGAAGCCCTACCCTGGGCTGCTTCCTACCCCCCGCAAGTCTGGTTCATGGCCGTTGAGGTGTCCATTCAACGCTCCCACTTTCCCTTCCTGCCCTCCTCCCTGGGCGGCGTCCTTCCCACCTTTGAATTCCCCCATCCTGGCGTTCCCCTCTCGCCCCTCCCCTGACCTCACGTCGCCCTTGAGCCCCACCCCTCACGTTCACCACGTCGTCGTTCTCCCTCCCCCTTGCCATGGGGTCGGACGTCCTCCCGTTCCCCTGCACGAGGACAAGTGGTGCAGCTGAACGTTTGCACATCCGCCTTCCTGGACATCACGGGGATCGGTGCGGCCTCGGTGTGGGGCGGTCTCACGCCACTCTGGCGGTGCGGAGTCACCCCGTCACACACATGAAGGAGCAAATTCAATACATTTAAGGTTTCTCTTCTGGTGTCTTGTTGGCCGTTTAGGATGGGGACTGAAAAGACAACTTCCACTTCTGTAGAGTGGCAAAAATTACACTTTATATATTTGTGGGGAAAAAAAATTAAGGAATTAAAAATGCAGGAATCATGTTCAAAATCACTTTTATGTTGTAAAAATATGTGTTGAAATGTATAAAAGATTAACTGATTAAGGTTGAGAAAAAAGCCTCTTCAGTTTTTTCAATTTAAAATTATTTTTATGGTTGGAATTTAGGGCCTGTAACTGTTTTACTGCAGCCTTTTGTGAGTTTGAATTATATTAATGTAAATTTTTTCCTGAACCCTTTCTAAATTGTGGAGTAGTTAGTATATATTAGCCCCATGGGGCCAGAACTGTATTTTGGTACCTCTTTCTTAGCTTTTCTCAAACTCACTTGTTCCTAGGGCTGGTGAGAAACGTGAAGGATGCTGTTTTAGGTGGCAACTACAGTACATATTATAGGGAAGAAAACACAAAGCAAATTACTTGTGTACAAAATCTTATTTTAGCCGCATGGTGCCTTAATGGCCACTAGACTTGGATACAAATGTGCTGCCAAGGGCAGTGATTTCTTAAGAGTACAGGATATGATCTCTGCTAAGCATATAACCTTTATGATAGCTCTCTAATTCACCCTGCTTCTTCTCCCTACAGGCCTGTTCCTACACTCACGAGCAGATTGTGGAGATGATGGAGTTTCTAATAGAGTATGGTCCAGCGCAGCTCTACTGGGAGCCAGCAGAAGTCTTTCTCAAATTATCTTGTGTGCAGCTCATGCTCCAGCTTATCTCAATAGCATGCAACTGGAAGACATACTATGCTAGGTGAGAGAGTAGCTACTATACTGTATTGTTGCATTTCCCAACCTGTAGATGCAACTCCGTAGTGGAGCATTACATCTGTCTATATATTTTAGAAATGTGTGGATATCTGAGTGAGTCTGAGTCTGATTGTTCAAGAACTCCTCCTAAACGATAAGACTTAGGACCACCAAATTTGGTATGCAGCTTCTTCTGGGTCAAGGAGGCATACTTCTCATATCTGTGTTGATTTTGCTGAATTTGGCCATGTATTTTGAACTATGAGTCTGTATAGAGGATGAGACTATCTGGTCCAGTCATAAAGGGGGTGTTGGCAGCTACTGCTTTACTGTACTATACTTAGACTGGTGACCTCAGAGGAAATTCAATAGAGTGACCAAACTCTAGGGCTGAGTAGAACTAATCTAGGAGATGTCACGCCTAAAGGCCCCTCTGCTGTTTTTGACAATAGACTCTACAATAGCATGCTGCCAGAGCAAAGCTATCTTCTGATATGTCCTTGAGACATCTCATCCCCCCGGCTTCATTCTACATTGCAGCATCCAACCTGTAGCCAAAGAGAAGAATTTGCAGGAAGTCTTCTAGTGTTAAAAATGTTCCACCCTAGTATAGCTGCTGATTTCCTTTGCTGTACTCTTCCAGGAATGACACAGTGCGCTATGCTTTGGATGTTCTGGCTATCCTTACTGTGGTTCCTAAAATCCAGTTGCAGCTGGCAGAGCCTGTAGATGTGTTGGATGAAGCAGGATCTACTGTCTCCACTGTGGGTAAGCTAAGCTTGGCCTTCAGGGTTTAAGTGCTTTCGTAATAGTAGCCTTCATTCAGTGATGTTTAGGTGACTTATTTCATGTCCCCCACAGTATGATTGAGGGCTACCTCAGTCCGTTCGTAGTCATGGCCAGTGATGCAGATAAGAGAGGGGGCTGTGGTATAGAATGTTAGGGTACGTCTAGACTACATGCCTCTGTCGCCAGAGGCATGTAGATTAGGCTACCAGACATAGGAAAATGAAGCGGCGATTTAAATAATCGCCGCTTCATTTAAATTTACATGGCCGCCGCGCTGAGCTGATCAGCTGTTTGTCGGCTCAGCGCAGTAGTCTGGACGCGCGGGTGTCGACATCAAAGGCGTTGACATCAAAGGTTTTTGTTGACTACCCAGGTAAACCTCCTGGGATGAGGTTTACCTGGATGGTCGACAAATACCTTCGATGTCGACACCCGCACGTCCAGACTATCACGCTGAGACGACAAACAGCTGATGAGCTGTTTGTCGGCTCAGCGCGGCGGCCATGTAAATTTAAATGAAGCGGCGATTATTTAAATCGCCGCTTCATTTTCCTATGTCTGGTAGCCTAATCTACATGCCTCTGGCGACAGAGGCATGTAGTCTAGACGTACCCTCAGACTGTAAACTCGAGTGCACAGCCTGTTTCGTCTCATTCTCCTGACGCGGAGCACGTTGTCTGCAGTGTTACCTGTAAACTGTGCATTTGGGAGGCCAGCCACAAGAGACTGAGGCGCTGCCCAGCTGATTAACAGAAATCACACAGCAGGCAGCATGTGTTACTCCTGGTGATGCATGTTCACAAATGTTGTGATACTCACAACATCATTTATTCTGCACCTGGATGGAAAAAAATTAGCAAGGGCTGTACTCAACAAATGATCCCAATTGTGTCCCATTGAAAATGTGGATTTGAGCATCCCTTAGCTTCCTGGACTCTGTGTCCTCCTAGGAGATGGTCTTGGGATGGACTCAGAGTGGGTAGGACCGGAGTAAGGACTGTTAAAAAATTGGATAAGTTTGCCCCTTTTTATTCGGTGCCTTTAGTCAGTCACGCCCCACACTCACAGCTTACCAACAAGTGAACAAACTCCGGCTGATTGCTGGGCTCTAAATGTTAGGAGGATGGGGCCTGGCCTGTTACACAAGTTCCCCCCCATGCAAACACTTTTATATCTGAGAGAATCTCTCATGAGAGCACTTTCTCTCAGCAGCACACTGGTCCTCTTTGCATGAAGGTTGGATTTGAAGAACAGTTAAAGCAATAGATGCTTTTTGACCAAAAGCATTCTGGAGGGTGTGATGTGTATAAAAAGCTACCCTGTCCTTCGCTTCTGCTTTGTTACGTTCCTGATAGAGGGCTGCTTTCTGTGATGTCAGCCCTAGAGGCTCTCCATGTTGTAGCTGCAGTCTGAGGTGCCTGGCCTTAAGCAAACCTGGCCCATGCCTGCTTATCTTCTGAGAGAGACCACATTGAACCCACCAGTGTGGTGTGATCCGTGGAGCAGTGTCAATGGGTGGTGTTAGTGAGGGGGATTATCTAGCCTGGGGCTATAGAGGAAAGCTGTCATGGTCAGAGAATGAGGCGACTGCAGAGGGCTCCAAATAGAAAACTGAGGAATGTGTCAGAGGAAAGCTGTCATGGTCAGAGAATGAGGCGACTGCAGAGGACTCCAAATAGAGAACTGAGGAATGTCTTGTGCTAAAGTTAACCTGATGATAAAATGTCAGAAGGATAGCCTTGTTGGTTGGTAACTTGAAAAACGAGTAGTCCTGTGGCACCTTGGAAACTAACCAAAATGTATAGAACCACGAGCTTTCATGGATAAAACCCACTTCCTCAGATGAATCTGAGTGGAAATAACAGAAACCCAAGATGTATATAGAACAGCAGGATATCTCTTGAAGTGGGTTTTACCTACGAAAGCTCATGATTCTACATATTTTGGTTAGTCTCTAAGGTGCCACTGAGCTACTCGTTTTTATCATAACAAAAGCGTTTCTCTCGCTAGGTATCAGCATCATCCTGGGAGTTGCTGAGGGTGAATTCTTCATCCATGATGCAGAGATCCAGAAGTCAGCCCTTCAGATCATCATCAACTGTGTGTGTGGCCCAGATAATCGGATCTCCAGTATTGGCAAATTCATCTCGGGGACGCCCCGACGCAAGCTCCCCCAGGCACCCAAAAGCAGTGAGCACACACTGGCCAAGATGTGGAATGTGGTGCAGTCCAACAATGGCATCAAAGTGTTGCTGTCATTGCTGTCTATAAAAATGCCAATTACAGATGCGGACCAGATCCGAGCGTTGGCCTGTAAGGCCTTGGTGGGGCTTTCCCGTAGCAGTACTGTCCGGCAGATCATCAGCAAGCTACCCCTCTTCAGCAGCTGTCAGATCCAGCAACTAATGAAGGAGCCTGTGCTCCAGGACAAGCGCAGTGACCATGTCAAGTTCTGCAAGTTTGCTGCCGAGCTGATTGAGCGTGTCTCAGGGAAGCCATTGCTGATTGGCACAGATGTCTCCCTGGCTCGGTTGCAGAAAGCGGATGTGGTGGCCCAGTCCAGGATCTCCTTTCCTGAGAAGGAGCTGCTGCTTTTGATTCGGAACCATCTCATCTCTAAGGGGCTAGGAGAAACTGCTACTGTCCTCACGAAAGAGGCAGATCTACCCATGACAGCTGCCTCTCACTCATCTGCGTTCACCCCTGTTGCAGCCGCGGCCTCCCCTGTGGCGCTGCCTCGCACACCTCGTATAGCTAATGGTATCTCAGCCCGACTGAGTAGCCATGCTTCTGTAGGTGCCACGGCTGCCTCTGTCCATGCTCAACCAAGGCCTCCTGTATCCCAGGGTCCACTTGCCCTTCCAGGTCCTTCTTATGCCAGCAACTCCCCTTTGATTGGCAGGATTAGCTTCATCAGAGAGAGGCCACCACCCTGCAATGGCAGGAAAATCAGAGTGCTGAGACAAAAATCAGACCACGGCGCCTACAGCCAGAGCCCGGCTATCAAAAAGCAGCTGGACAGACACCTCCCTTCCCCTCCCACACTGGACAGCATAATTACAGAATACCTTAGGGAGCAGCATGCCCGCTGCAAGAACCCTGTTGCCACCTGTCCCCCTTTCTCTCTCTTTACTCCCCACCAGTGCCCTGAGCCAAAACAGAGGCGCCAGGCGCCAACTAACTTTACCTCGCGGCTGACCCGTAGGGCGGCCTTTCCGAAGTATGGAGGGGTGGACGGTGGATGCTTTGATAGACACCTTATATTCAGCAGGTAAGGAAGAAAGGAATGTTTCTCAAAACCTCTTGGGGTAGTGTCTGTGCCAAAAGGCCTTACCTGCTGCAAAGGTGGATTCAGGCCTCAGAATCCTCATTTCTTGGACAGATAAAAACATTTCCCTTCTATGGTGACAGTTGGGAGAACATTTTGCAAATACAGTTTGAGAAGCCATTCTGTTTCTCTCTGATAATTGATTAGCACTTAATATAGCACCTTCAACCTTCAGAGTGTTGTAGAGACATGAATGAAGCCTCCTGACCCCATCCTGAGAGGTAAGTTGTGTAATCCCCACTTTACAGGTGGGGCAATTAAGGCAGAAGGGCTGAGCTGCTGAAGGCCTGAGGTTATCTGTCACATCTAGGGCTACTGGCAAATTAATGAACACAGGATCTCTCTTTTGTTCTCACAACCTATCCTCATCTTCCGTACAGACAGCAGTATTGCTGTTCTGCCTATGTAGAAGTCTGGTAGGTGTGGAGAAAATGGGAGGAGCTGACAAGTTGTAAAATGAGCAGATGTTGATGCCAGTGTTTTTGGTGGTGGTAAAATCACACCACCACCATCAACAATTCATGGTCTCGAGACACCCGAGGTCTTAGCCAACTGCCCAGGATTTTCCATGTGACCATGCCACAGACTTTCCATCAATCCAACTTGGAAGATATTGAATCTAGATTTTTATATCTGATTGGGGTGTCAGCAAGATGAAATCCTTGTCTCAGGATTGTGTCATGACACATCTCACATCTGAGGGTCATCTGTTTTCTTCTTAATCTGCTGGTGTCATTCTTACTAATCATCCTCTAAAAAGAAAGCTAAAGTAACAGCTGTAGCGACCTAAGCTTTCAAACACAAGTTTTAAGATCACCTCACCCTTGTTCATCGCTGCTTTTCTTTTCTCCCTTTGTCTTTCTTTTTTACCCTCTTCCCCAGGTTTCGTCCAATTTCTGTGTTCCGGGAAGCAAATGAAGATGAAAGTGGCTTTACCTGTTGTGCGTTCTCTGCGCGAGAGCGATTCCTAATGCTGGGCACTTGCACAGGGCAGCTGAAGCTCTACAATGTTTTCAGTGGGCAGGAGGAGGCCAGCTACAACTGCCATAACTCTGCCATCACGCACCTTGAGCCGTCCAGGGTAAGGCGTCAGACTCGTATGAACATTAACTTCCTGGGGTTTAAGCCTTGTGCTGTGTTTGCCCCATATGGCCTCTATGAAAGCACATCTACTGGCTAGCATGCAGCATAGCCTATGAAAGGAATAGCAGAAGATCAGTGAAACGGTCTTTGCTCTCCTCTCTTAGGAGCCTAGAAGTCCTTTCTCTTCCCTAACAGCATAAGAGGGGTGCAATAGCTTTGTGCCTGCATAGATAACATTTTGTGTAAGGGGGTGAACAGGGCTATTGAAGTGACCTTGTGTATGCATAGGGTAAACACACAATGCTGTAACCAAGAGCTCTCCTTTAGAGAGGAAGAAACCTGATGTGCAAGAATCTAGGAAGAATTTTTTTTAAAAGTAGTGTTCTCTGCAGTCAGAGCATTGCTGCTTATGCAAGGGTTACCCCCTTTGCATCTGCTGCCATCGTAATGCATAGCTCCTTTAGATGTCGATAACATTTTTGAATAATATTATATAGTGATGTAATTTACCATCAGGTCATTATTCCTGAGTAGTGCAGTGAGAGAGGGTCCTTTGAACGCCTGTTATACATGCAAGAAAATACACTTGTGTACCAATAATCACTTGTTTCACACTGCCATTTTTTCCTCACACCATTAAACTACAGGATGGGTCTTTACTGCTAACATCTGCGACGTGGAGCCAACCGTTGTCTGCATTGTGGGGGATGAAATCTGTCTTCGACATGAAGTAGGTACTCTTTGATCATCTGAAATGCAGAAACTTAAAGGAGAACCTTTAAACATATCCCAAAACGCCTGGAATGGCAAGCTGCAAAAGTATTCGAGGACTTGGCAGTTAGAAGCTGCTATATGCTAGGAAACCTAGTCCAACTAGGACTGTCAAACGACTACAATTAATTGTGATTAATCACAGGATTTAAGAAAATTGTGATAAATTGCAGTTTATCATACTGCTAAACAATACCATTTATTTAAATGTATTTGGATATTTTCTATATTTTCAAATATTTATTTCAATTGCAACACAAAATGCAGAGTATACAGTGCTCATTTTATATAAATTTTATTACAAATATTTGCACAATAAGAAAGAGAAAAGATTTTCCACTTCTCCTCATACAAGTATTGCAGTGCAATCTCTGTATTGTGAAGGTACAACTAACAAATGAAGAATTTTTTTGCGTAACTGCACTTGAAAACAAAACTATGTAGAGTCTAAAAGTCCACTTAATCGTACTTCTTGTTCAGCGACTTGCTAAGACAAATGTGTTTATTTCTTTGTGTGTTTGTCAAATCTGCAGAAGTATTCATAAATCAAACAATATGGCTACGTCTAGACTGGCATGATTTTCCGGAAATGCTTTTAACGGAAAAGTTTTCCGTTAAAAGCATTTTCGGAAAAGCACGTCTAGATTGGCAAGACGCTTTTCCGCAAAAGCACTTTTTGCAGAAAAGCGTCCGTGGCCAATCTAGACGCGCTTTTCCGCAAAAA